AAAGTTATCACTTTTATTGGGCTCTCAAAGGGTGATTTCCCCATCCCAGCACCAGCAACAACCACCGTAGGAAACCACTTCTCTGATGAAAGCAAGAGGAACATCATTCCCCAATCCCTGCAGAAACGAATGACCCTTGACACAATTTGTATTCTGTCTGTTCAATCTAAGCATTGAAAGTGTGATCTCTGTAACTTACAGTTGTGATGAGCAGGGCGGACTGACCATTCGAACACTCGGGCACTGCCCGAGGGCCCGGGGTCGGTAGGGGGCCACATGAAATGCCCCTGGTACCTTTTTATAGGTTTTTTTGGGTGTGCTTTGAGTGTGGGCAAAGACACAGGGGCCCCATGATCCCCTATTGCCCGGGGGCCCCATGAGTTGTCAGTCCGTCCCTGGTGATGAGATAGCGATAACTCCAATCTTAGTTGAATAAACAGGCAGTGACTCGATCCAGTCGACACCTTGTAGATCTTGCGAGGTTTATTCCATTAACTGAGAGAATCTTACAACAATGAACATCGGATAGGTCAGAAGATCATAATGTGATCTACTACATGACATGAGGCTTGAAGCTGAAATGCATTACTGGGAAAAACGGTGGGCTATCTATACAGCATAAACTAAACTAGAGGAAAGGGAGGAGCAGAGACAAAATACAAAAAAAAAACACTTAAAGGCATATGACAGTCATGTGAAACATAACGTATTATATTCTGGGGTCATAGTTTATATTCCTCAGCTTGTAGCCCCATTGTGATAACAATAAAGAAAAAAGTAAAGTTTGGTAAATAACTGCGCAAATACAGTATCATGTGAAATGAAAACAAATGCAACTACATTCATTTTATTCTCCAGGGTCTCTGCTTTCAGAAAATATATACTGTTTTTGGGAGGTTTCCAGTAATTTCTAGCACAAAATGTGTACAAAATATTTTTAAAAATTGCCCTGGTAGGCAAGTGGTTAACCGCCTCCCACCCGCCAAATAGTAATATGACGGGCGCAAGGTGGTTCTCTCATTCTGGGAGGACGTCATATGACATCCTCCCACTAACAGCGCATGTGTGGCTCCCGGAGCGCGTGGAAAGAGCCGAAGATGTTGGCTCGGTCATGTGATCAGCTGTGTCCAATCACAGCTGATCACAAGTAAACAGGGAAATGCCGGTTTTCTGCATTTCTCTCCCCACGAGCTGTCACGCTGACAGTTCGAGAGGAGAGGAGAGAGCAGGTAATCGACATTCCTTGGAGGGGACATGTACACTGATCATCAGAGCACTGATGATCAGTGTGCCCTGATGATCTGTGTAGCCCCTGCTGTGCCACCTGTCAGTGTCCATCAGTGCCACATGTCAGTGCTCATCTGAGCTGCCTTTCAGTGTCACCCATCAGTGCCAGTCAGTGCCACCTATCAGTGCCAGTCAGTGCCGCCTATCAGTGTGCATCAGTGCCGCCTATCTGTGCCTGTCAGTACTGCCTATCAGTGCCGCTTAATAGTGCCAGTCAGTGCCACCTAACAGTGCCACTCAATGCCGCCTATCAGTGCCAGTCAGTGCAGTCTATCAGTGCCACCTATCAGTTCTGCCTATCAGTGCCATATATGAGTGCTGCCTTTCAGTGCCCATCAGTGATGCCTGTCAATGCCCATCAGTGCCACGTACCAGTGCCTCCTCATCAGTGCCCATCGGTTCCACCTATCAATGTCCATCAGTGCAGCCTATCAGTGCCCATCAGTGTGGCTCATTAGCGAAGGAGAAAAATCACTTATTTACTACATTTTATAGCAAAAACTAAGAAAAAAACTTTTTTTTCAAAACTTTTCAGTGGTTTTTTGGTTTGTTTAAGAGAAAATAAAAAACCAGAGGTGATTAAATACCACCAAAAATAAAGCTCTATCTGTCACAAAAAAAATGATAAACATTTCATATGGGTACAGTGTTGCATGACCGTGCAATTGTCATTCAAAGTGCAACGGTGCTGAAATCTGGAAATTGGCCCGGGCAGGAAGGGGGTATCAGTGCCCTGTAGGCAGGCAAGTAGTTAAACAAATCTATATTTTTATATACTGTATTGTTTGGCTCTCAAAGGATGATTCCCCATCCCAGCGTCAGCAACAACCACTGTAGGAAACTGCTTCTCTGGTGAAAGCAAGAGAGGAACTCAGGGAACATTCATTCCCCAATCCCTCCAGCAACTAATAACCCTTGACACAAAGTGTATTCTATCACTTTTGGGGTCATAGCTTATATTCCTCAGCTTATTAGCCCCATTGTGATAACAATAAAGTTAAAAAAAAAGAAATTAAATAAAAATAAATAAAAAATATATGCATTTTTTTTGTTAAGTACCCCTGTCACCCCTGTACACGTCCCACATAAAGAGTGCAGTGCAGGGCAAGCATGTACATGGTTTTTTTACCAAAAAAGTGGGTGTTATTTTTGTGTTTGTTAGCACTCAAATTAATTTTAGTGTATTTTTTCCTGAAAATATTTGTTTGGTAAATAACTGTGCAAATACAGTATCATGTGAAATTCAAAAAAAAAATGCAACTACATTCATTTTATTCTCCAGGGGTTCTGCTTTCAGAAAATATATACTGTTTTTTGGGAGGTTTACAGTAATTTCTAGTAAAAAATGTGTACAAAAAAACTAAAATAATTGCCCTGGTAGGCAAGTAGTTAAACAAATTTATATTTTTATATATTGTTTGGCTCTCAAAGGATGATTCCCCATCCCAGTGCCAGCAACAACCACTGTAGGAAATCGCTTCTCTGGTGAAAGCAAGAGGAACTCAGGGAACATTCATTCCCCAATCCTTCCAGCAACTAATGACTCTTGACGCAAAGTGTATTATATCACTTCTGGGGTCTTAGTTTTTATTCCTCAGCTTGTTAGCCCCATTGTGATAACAATAAAGTAAAAAAAAAGAATTAAATAAAATAAATGAAAAATATATGCATATTTTTAAGTACCCCTGTCACCCCTGTACATGTCCCACATAACATTCATTCTCCAATCCCTCCAGCAATGAATGATCCTTGACGCAACGTGTATTAGATCACTTCTGGTGTCATAGCTTATATTCCTCATCTTGTTAGCCCCATTGTGATAACAATAAAAGTAAAAAAAAAAAAAAAATATTTTTTTTATTTATTTTCAATAAGTTCCCCTGTCACCCCTGTACACGTCCCACATAAAAAGTGCAGTGCAGGGCAAGCATGTACATGGTTTTTTACTACCAAAAAAGTGGGTGTTATATTGTGTTTGTTAGCACTCAAATTAATTTTGGTGTATTTTTTCCTGAAAATATTTGTTTGGTAAATAACTGCGCAAATACAGTATCATGTGAAATGAAAAAAAAAATGCAACTACATTTCATTTTATTCTCCAGGGTTTCTGCTTTCAGAAAATATATACTATTTTTGGGAGGTTTACAGTAATTTCTAGCAAAAAAATGTGTACAAAAAAATTACAAAAATTACCCTGTTAGGCAAGTGGTTAATATATTTTTATATTTTGTTTGGCTCTCAAAGGATGATTCCCCATCCCAGCGCCAGCAACACCCACTGTAGGAAGCCGCTTCTCTGGTGAAAGCAAGAGGAACTCAAGGAACATTCATTCCCAATCCCTCCAGCAACTAATGACTCTTGACACAAAGTGTATTATATCACTTCTGGGGTCATAGCTTATATTCCTCAGCTTGTTAGCCCCATTGTGATAACAATAAAGTTAAAAAAAAAAATTATATAAAATGAATAAAAAATAGATGCATTTTTTTTTTTAAGTACCCCCGTCACCCCTGTACACATCCCACATGAAACGTGCAGTGCAGGGCAAGCAGGTGCATGGTTTTTTTTTGTTTTTTCTAAACTAAAAGAGTGGGTGTTATATTGTGTTTGTTAGCAATCAAATTAATTTTGGTGTATTTTTTATTTTTAAAAATGCAACTACATTAATTTTATTCTCCAGGGTTTCTGCTTTAGAAAATATATACTATTTTTGGGAGGTTTTGAGTACAGTAATTTCAAGCAAAAAATATGTACATGAAAATTTAAAAAATTGCCCTGGTAGGCAAGTGGTTAAACAAATCTGTATTATTTATATACTGTTTATATATCCACTATTGTCACCAGTCCTGCAGAGACCTGTGTTTTCTATGAATCCTCTGGCTTCCCAGAAAATGAAAGTGAAAATAATCAGAGCTGACTTCTTGTCAGTCTGTTCATGTCATTGACAAGCTAAATCTGCAACACAATCCTTGCTACTACCATTCCTCTGTCTCACAGCTAAACTGTCTGTGCCATGTGGAGAATGAGGTCATTATTATTATACAGGATTTATATAGTGCCAACAGTTTGCTCAGCGCTTTAGGACATTTTACAACACAGCTCCTTGCAGATACGGAAAAGCACTGTTTAATATACAGTTGTATGTAACTGCATAAATAATTAAAGTGTTACTAAACCCAGAACAGGAAAATCAGTCTGTATATACAGAAAGTATGCTTGTTATACTCACTGTGGAATCTAAGGGGTTAATCCTCTGCATTGTGTAAAAAGGATGTTTGATCCTGACTTTTCTGATCCTCCCCTTCTTCCAGTGCCCCCCTCTTATCTCCTGATAAGACATATCGTGTGGAGACACTCTGCACATGCTCAGTTTAGTGTGTATTGCTAGAGAGGGTTTTTTTTTTTCTTGGGAGAGTGCATGTGATCAGCACAGGTCCAATCAGCACTGTCCAGACAGAGGTCAGGAGTTCTGCATCCTCCTAGTGCAGTAAGAAAACTCCTCCTACAAGCTTTAACCAGTGCTGTGCTGGACACTGATAGAAGTCACAAGACTTCTCTAACTGCTGATGAGAAAAGGTATTTAGCAGTTTATATTTACTAAAATAGCTGCATTTCCATGTTCCGGACCCTGCACTCACTATATCTGGTCTCCCAAGACCCTGCATTCACTATATCTGGTCTCCCAAGACCCTGCATTCACTATATCTGGTCTCCCAGGACCCTGCATTCACTATATCTGGTCTCCCCGGACCCTACATTCACTATATCTGGTCTCCCCGGACCCTGCATTCACTATATCTGGTCTCCCCGGACCCTGCATTCACTATATCTGGTCTCCCAGAACCCTGTATTCACTATATCTGGTCTCCCCGGACCCTGCATTCACTATATCTGGTCTCCCCGGACCCTGAATTCACTATATCTGGTCTCCCAGGACCCTGCATTCACTATATCTGCTCTCCCAGGACCCTGCATTCACTATATCTGGTCACCCAGGACCCTGCATTTACTATATCCGGTCTCCTCGGACCCCGCATTCACTATATCTGGTCTCCCCAGACCCTGCATTCACTATATCTGGTCTCCCCAGGACCCTGCATTCACTATATCTGCTCTCCCCGGACCCCGCATTCACTATATCTAGTCTCCCCGGACCCTGCATTCACTATATCTGGTCTCCCCGGACCCTGAATTCACTATATCTGGTCTCCCCGAACCCTGCATTCACTATAGCTGGTCTCCCCGGACCCTACATTCACTATATCTGGTCTCCCAGGACCCTGCATTCACTATATCTGGTCTCCCAGGACCCCCGCATTCACTGTATCTGGTCTCCCCCAGACCCTGCATTCACTATATCTGGTCTCCCCAGACCCTGCATTCACTATATCTGCTCTCCCAGGACCCTGCATTCACTATATCTGGTCTCCCCGGACAATGCATTCACTATATCTGGTCTCCCACAGTACACAGAACATGGAAATGCAGCTATTTTAGTAAATATAAACTGCCAAATACCTTTTCTCATCAGCAGTTAGAGCAGCCTTGTGACTTCTATCAGTGTCCAGCAGAGCACTGGTTAAAACTTGTAAGAGGAGTTTTCTTTTTGCTCTAGGAGGATGCAGAACCCCTGACCCTCTGTCTGGACAGTGCTGATTACATGCACATGCACTCTCCCAAGAAAAAAAAAACCCTCTCTAGCAATACACACTAAACTGAGCTATGGTTCAGTCTGTCTTATTAGGAGATAAGATGTGGACATTTGAACAAGAGGAGGGGCAGAGAAGACAGGATCAAACATCCTTTTTACACAATGCAGAGGATTAACCCCTTAGGTTCCACAGTGAGTATAACAAGCATGCTTTACTGCATATACAGACTGATTTTACTGTTGTGGGTTTAGTAACATTTTGAGGTTCAGTTTCAATAGTTAGAATATATGTCTGGGCATATTTAATCTATTACACATGTTGCACGTACCTGGTGATCCACCAGAAATCCAGTGGGCTCTTGACTTCCTGTGCACCCTGCCTATGCTGTGCTTTAATCCCAAGCAGTGTTATCAGCCCTACCTGACTTCTTCTCTGCTGGACCACAGGACACCTCCCTCTTCTGTTATATAGATGAGGAGAAATGGAGGTGTTCTGTAGTCCAGCAGCAAAGCGGCAAGGCTGGCAATACAGTTTTAGATTCCAGTGCAACAGAGGCAGTGTGTTATCAACTCTGGCAGGCAGGAACATCAGGACTCACATAGAGCATTAAAGAATGTGTAAATGCAACATTTCATATTCCTGATATGTGCCCACTGTACCATGTATGTGTATAAAAAAGCATCCTGTTCTCTTTGTATTGCTTCCCTTGTGTGAAATACCGGGTGTTCCTGCCAGTCCCTCTGCTTTCCTATTAAAAGCTGACCACACTAGGCATGAGAGCACAGCGTGGTAAGATTTCTGGCTGTGCTGGGAACGCAACCTGCTCTCCTCCAATGATCAGACTTGTCCTGACTCCCTTCTCCCTCCAGCACAGTCATTCACTGGGAAGACCAGTGTGCTGCTGTTTCTCCTCCTTCAGCTCTCACTTATAAAAAAGGGGGGGGGGGGGGGCATTTATAATGTTTTTTATATCTATTTACAAATATTTTTATTTTAAACAAAATGGGTTGTTTTACAAGGTGAGGGTTCACATATGCTTTAATATTGTAAAGCAGAACAGCAAGCTAATGCTTTAAATTTTGTATTCATTACATCATATGTTTGTTTAAAGCAAGCACTGTATTTGTGTGTGTTTCCTATGCAGCGTAGTGTGCCAGTCCCTCTGCTTTCCTGCTTTAAAAACTGACCACACTCAACATGAGAGCACAGCGTGGTCAGTTTTCTAGCTGTGCTGGGAACACAGCCTACTCTGCTCCAATGGTCAGACTTGTCCTGACACTCCCTCCCCTGCACAGCCATTTACTGGGAAGTTCAGTGTGTTGCTGTTTCTTCTCCCCAAGCATCTCTGATGCAGCTGAGAACAGAGGGAATGTGATCAGTTATGAAAAGGAGAAAAAAGGGTATTTATAATAATATACGCAAATGTTTTGTCTTTCATTTCTATTTTAATCCGAATGGGTTATTTACAAGGTGAGGGTTTACATATACTTTAAAGTATAACTGAAGGCAAAACTTTTTTTTTTAGTTTTGGACAGAGTTTTTATTGCAGTCTGTGCCCCCATTAGGGAGACATCCTCTCAATTTGTCGTGTTTACTATTACCATTGAAAGTGAAACTAAAAGTACAGTAAAAGAAAACCCCACATTTCGGATTGTCCCCAGAAATGTAATAGAGGGGAAATTTTCCAATGGAAAACTAGTTGTGGTGACCCAGGGGTTGCCAAGGATTTTTTTAAATTTGCAGGGATTTCCCTTACTTCCTGTTTCAGCTATGAGCAGGAAGTGGAGGTAAATCTCCCCAATGGGACACAGATGGCAAAAAATAAACTGACAGGGGTTATAACCCTTCCTTACTCCATCCAGAATGAGAAAAAAGTTTTGCCTGTAGTTCTACTTTAAGAAAGAAGAAAGGCAAGTGTTGAAAGAAGAAGACAAAATAAGTGTGCAGATAAGCTGCTATAATCGCTTTTAACCACTTGCCCTCCTGAGGATTTACCCCCCTTTTTTATGTCCTTTTTTCCCCACAAATAGAGATTTCTTCTGGTGGTATTTTTTATTTTTTGCACTATAAACAAAAAAACTTTTTGCTATAAAACATATCCAGCAAAAAAAAATTTAACACTGGGCATGAAGGGGTTAACATCTGGGGCGATCAAAGGGTTAACTGTGTTCTGATTTACTGTGTAAGCATGCTACTTTTTTTTATTGCTCTGCCTGACTCCTGTACTCCTGACTCCTGTACCATGCTTGTAGTCTCAGACCATAGTCCTGTACTACACCTGCAGTCTCAAACCAACTCCTGTACTACGCCTGCAGTCCCTGACCAACTCCTGTACTACTCCAGCAGTCTCAGACCATAGTCCTGTACTACGCCTGCAGTCCCTGACCAACTCCTGTACTACTCCAGCAGTCTCAGACCATAGTCCTGTACTACGCCTGCAGTCCCTGACCAACTCCTGTACTACACTTGCAGTCTCAGACCATAGTCCTGTACTACACCTGCAGTCCCTGACCAACTCCTGTACTACGCCCATGCAGTCTCAGAACATAGTCCTGTACTACACCTGCAGTCCCTGACCAACTGCTGTACTATGCCTGCAGTCCCTGACCAACCCCTGTACTATGCCTGCAGTCCCTGACCAACTCCTGTACTACACCTGCAGTCTCAAACCAACTCCTGTACTATGCCTGCAGTCCCAAACCAACTCCTGTACTACACCTGCAGTCCCTGACCAACTCCTATATTACGCCTGCAGTCCCTGACCAACTCCTGTACCACGCTTGCAGTCTCAGACCATAGTACTGTACTACACCTGCAGTCTCAAACCAACTCCTGTACTATGCCTGCAGTCTCAAACCAACTCCTGTACTATGCCTGCAGTCCCTGACCAACTCCTGTACTATGCCTGCAGTCTCAAACCATAGTCCTGTACTATGCCTGCAGTCTCAAACCAACTCCTGTACTACATCTGCAGTCCCTGACCAACTCCTATATTACGCCTGCAGTTCCTGACCAACTCCTGTACCAAGCTTGCAGTCTCAGACCATAGTCCTGTACTACACCTGCAGTCTCAAACCAACTCCTGTACTACACCTGCAGTCCCTGGCCAACTCCTGTACTATGCCTGCAGTCTCAGACCATAGTCCAGTACTATGCCTGCAGTCTCAGACCAACTCCTGTACTACACCTGCAGTCCCCGACCAACTCCTGTACTACGCTTGCAGTCTCAGACCATAGTCCTGTACTATGCCTGCAGTCTCAGACCATAGTCGTGTACTATGCCTGCATCCTCAGACCAACTCCTGTACTACGCCTGCAGTCCCTGACCAACTCTTGTACTACTCCAGCAGTCTCAGACCATAGTCCTGTACTACGCCTGCAGTCTGTGACCAACTCCTGTACTACGCCTGCAGTCCCTGGGCAACTCCTGTACTACTCCAGCAGTCTCAGACCATAGTCCTGTACTACACCTGCAGTCTCTGACCAACTCCTGTACTACGCCTGCAATCCCTGATCAACTCCTGTACTACTCCTGCAGTCTCAGACCATAGTCCTGTACTATGGCTGCAGTCTCAAACCATCTCCTGTACTACACTGCAGTCCCTGACCAACTCCTGTACTACTCTTGCAGTCTCAGATCATAGTCCTGTACTATGCCTGCAGTCTCAGACCAACTCCTCTACTACTCCTGCAATCCCTGACCAACTCCTGTACTACTCCTGCAATCCCTGACCAACTCCTGTACTACTCCTGCAGTCTCAGACCATAGTCGTGTACTACACCTGCAGTCTCAGACCATAGTCGTGTACTACACCTGCAGTCTCAGACCATAGTTCTGTACTAACTGCAATAACCTCTATAAACCAATCAGTGAGCGGTAATGATGTGCTGTAACCTCTAGCAACCAATCAGTGAGTGTGAACCAGTTCTTTATGTTTACATAAAGTTTTTTGAGATAAGATTATGAATGTGTTTATTTGTTTTCTGGGATGTTGGGGTGGAGAGAAAAATTGCATTGGGGGGGGGATCCCAATAGAATCTCAGACTCTGTTTAACCACACCCCCTTTAAGCCACTCTCAATCCTCTTTTTCTTATCTTGCCACACCCATGAATGAATGGCCCACCCCTAATTAACGTACTGCTCTACCTACACTGTCTTTCTGGTCATACAGGAAAAATAAGTGTCCCTTAAAGTTTTTTTTAAATGTTGGCAACTTTATGTATGTATGAATGTAAGTTAGGGGCTTTAGATTG